ATTGTGGCTACTTTGTCCGTCCGTCCGTCTGCTCGTTCGTTGAGACGCTACTAGTTTTTCATCTTAAGAACTATTTTTCTACTTTTTTCGCTATTTGGTTCGTTATGTTGTCGAGGCTTGCACCAAGGAAGGAATTTTTTCTGCGTTTATTGCAAAAAAAGTTATTGTAAAAAAAACAAAAAACCGTTTTTTACATGTTCCATAATTTTACACTTTTGCCGTTTATTAAGGATCCTAGAGATCGTTTATAATTTTGTATTGCTGTCTGTTGGTCTGTCCGTCTGTTCCTTTGTCTGTCTGTCCCTCTATCTGTCCGTGTGAACGATAACTTTGTTTAGAAATATCCGATCGCTTTAACATCTCCGTTAATTATGAACCGAATTGCGTGAAATTCAATATGGGCATAGCTTCAGCCATATAATACCCAATGCCAAAAGTTGAGTGGAATCGATTCAACATTCACAGTGCCCTTTTCGTATCTCGACCATTTATAAACCGAATTGCAAACTTTTTTATTTATAAAAGTATTTGAATGAAATTTGATACTAAGGCACTTGGAAGAAAGGAAAATCTAACGCCAGTTTCAAAATTTGGTTTTGCGCATGCGCAGTGCCAACTTTTTTATTTATGGAAGCATTTAAATAAAATTTGATACTAAGGCGCTTGAAACAAAGGAAAATATAACGTTAGTTTCAAAATTTAGATTTGCGCATGCGCAGTTCCAAATTTTCTTATTTAGAAAAGCATTGAAATGAAATTCGTCTTATAAACAAAAATTGAAGTAGCACGTCAAAAATGGATTGCACATGTGCAACGCTATCTTTCATATGTGTGGCCGGATTTTTAAGATTTTAAGAGAAGTTGCATCTTACAAGTGGGAAATGAATGCAAGTGGAAATGCGCTTTCTGTAAATCGTTTATTTTATTATATGGTTATTATCCGAAAACTAAAAAGCTAGTAGTAAGGGTTGTGTCAAATAATGATTACAGAGGCGTTACCTAGGCAGAGTGTACGTTCAACTCCAGAAAGGTTAACCTAACAAACCTCTAATTTGTCTGCTTAGGCTGAACCTCTACTCTGCCTAGGTTAGTCCGGAACTCGTCTTCGACTCGCTCGGTAATGCCGCTCGAATTATTATTTTTAAGCACATCTAGTCAGCCTATGTTGTTAAAGATTATAATTGCAAAATTACTGCCGAGCGAAAGCGAGTTCAGCACAAACCTAGGCGGAGTGGAAGTTCTGTTTAAGAAAAGTCACCCTTGCAAACCTTTACTCTGCCTAGGCCGAACTCGCCTTAGTTAATCTTTGCTTACCCATTAAATTGGAGTAGCAGCAGCGATTTCTAAAGAACCCTTAGAGCTTTTCATAATAGCTGAAAGATTTCAAATACTTTATAGAAGATCTTTTAAAGATCTTAATTAAAGGCTACTAAAATGCAGGCCATTGAAAACTCTTGTATTGAAAATAGTTGTTGGCTCAAGACCTTAAATGTTTCTGTAAAGCTCTTACTTTTTAATATGAAGATCCTTAAATGCTTTAAAATGCACTTTAGGAGGTAATTAGAGCTTAATTTCAATACTGAGGTGCATATTAATGACTTCATTAAGAAAAATTCTTTATATAAAAGTCAGGAAAATCACACATTACTGACGAGGAAATATTAAAGCACGAGGCCCCTTTAGGGCCGAGTACTTTAATTTCTGAGTCGAGTAGTGTCATTTTACAAGCGAGTTTCGTATTAAATTTTAGCCGAAATTTTTAATTTGACAATTTGACAAGCTGTTCCCTGTGACATGTGCGGCCGGTAAAGCCGCCTGGTAGGTAATGAACTGTCTCCAAAACAGAGCTGGGCAGTATTCGATTTTGTAAATACTTTTTAGTATTCAAATCCTTTAAAGTATTCAAATACTTTGTAATTAAATACTTTTATGGAAGCAGTATTTGTTTTTGTAACTCAAATACTTTCACACATATTTAGTATTCGAATACTTCGCAAAGTATTTGGATACTTCGTAAAGTATTCGAATTCTTCGCAAGGTATTTGAATACTTTGAGAAGTATTCGAATACTTCGCATAGTATTTGAATACTTACTTAACCTGCCTTTTTCATCAAAAATCGACTGCATCAAAATTTCTCGGGAAAACACTTTTTCTTATTAATTTTGGTGCGTAGAATCGAAAACAATTCGTACTTTTTCGATCAGACTTCTCAATCAAATGTTATAGACTAGAAACCAATTTCGAAAGAAAATTCAAAGGGCTGTAACTTTTGAACTAGTAGCCCAATCTTGGAACTGTTTGAAATTATGGATTCTACAGGCCACATTCTATAAGAAAATTTCTTTTCCGGGTCGATGTGAGACAATTTTTTTTCGGGCCTCAAAAAAAGGCAGTGTATAACCTTCCTTTTTTACCAAAAATCGACTACACCAAAATTTCTCGGGAACACACTTTTTCTTATTAATTTTGGTGCGTAGAATCCAAAACAATTCGTACTTTTTCGGTCAGACTTCTCAATCAAAAGTTATAGACTTAAAAACCAATTTCGAAAGAAAATTCAAAGGGCTGTAACTTTTGAAATAGTAGCCCAATTTTGGAACTGTTTGAAATTTTTTTGGACTTAAAATAAATTGTTTGAAAAATAAATTAATCAATATGATTTTCGTTTTGGGCGAGATAGATAAAAATTGCCTTTTTTTTGCATGGCCAACTATTATGTCAATTACATGTAACTTATTTAAGATTAGAATATAAAAACCAAGATATTTCGAAAACTATCAGAGGAAGATATAGGACATTATTATCAAAAGTTGAAGGTTTTTGGATGAGTTGAAAGATGACAGAAAAATATACAGGGTGTTCCATTTAAACAAAGTGAGATTTTTAATATGAAGTTTTGCAACTTTGAACCTACCAAAAACAACACCCTGTAAGCTATATTTTTAATGTTTCATAGTAGATGTATTTATTTGACTTTTACTTTAACCCAGGACAAGATATAAAACCTGGAATCAAAATTTAAGTAATAATTTTGACTGACGTTTGCAAATGCCCAATTTTTCTTAAAAATCGAATTATCTTTAAAACTACTAGCTTTTCGGATATTAACTATATAATAAAAAGGACGTACGTAGAATTCAAAAATGCATTCAAATACAGGGGTTCTATTTAAAAAAAATTCCCTACTTTGTTTGCGCACCCTGTATAATTCCAAATATTTTTAAACACTCTATCGAAAAATCTTATCTTCAAGGCATTAAGTTACTCCGCACAATCATTGACTCGCCCTGTACAATTGTACATTCCTCCTCTTTCCACAAGCGTTCTTCTGCGGGCCTAAATTTGTTGCCAGCCAGTGAGATTAAAAGCTACCCTTTTACAAATAAATTTGCCAAAATGCGATAAAAAAGAAGGAGAGTTTGGAAAATATTGACTCTTCACAGTAACACTAACTGCAAGTAGGATCTAAACGGAGAATGAGGTGCCAGAAAAGTTGGGACGCCCAGGATTGGGGTAGGGCTGGTTGCTTAGGGTTATGGGGGGGTCACTTCGAAGACCCCCTTGCAGGCAGTATTGAATTCATCATATTGTAGGCAACCTAAATGAACAGTTTCCGGCGTTTTATCGTAATATTAGGAAATACTATAGTATTTTGATTGAGTAGAGTTGCTAAAATTTGTGCCACTGAACATCTAACAAATTTGACGTATACATGGTAAGCAATTTTCTTCTCTACAATTTTCCTCCCTTGACATTTCTTCTTAAAATGCTTAGTTTTAGGGTTAAGAAAATGTTCCATAATTTTACACTTTTGCCGTTTATTAACGATCCTAGAGATCGTTTATAATTTTGTATTGCTGTCTGTCGTCTGTCTGTTGATCTGTCCGTCTGTTCCTTTGTCCGTCTGTCCTTCTACAGGGTGGTGACTTGCGTAACGCATCATAGGGATTTCAATGTAAAATTCATAACATGCGATTATTGGGTCCCCAACTTATTTTAGGTCAAAAATGTATTAAGGTTTTTTGTGGAAATTTTTTTTACGTCAATCAACTGCATAATAAAGACGGAAAATTGGAAAAATAAAACCCGCATCTTTTTCAATAATCTGCGATGCCATGGAACTTTCTAAAACAAAAAGATATCCAGTTATCAATTAGCAGCAGTTCGAAATGGATTTTATGATCTTCTTGGTTACTGTCTTGCAGTTAGTGGTGACTTATTCGAACATTTATTGTAAATTGTTATATTAGGAAATCGTTTTTAGTAATTTGGTCTTTTTTTATGTTGAATTCGCTGTTCTAAATATAATACTTTTTGATAGAATTTGATTTGCTTTATAGCAGACATTCCATGGCATGACAGATATTGGCGTAGTTTTTGTATTATAAAATTCCATGGCATCACAGATTATTGAAAAAGATGCGGGTTTTATTTTTCCAATTTTCCGTCTGTATATGAAAAAAATTGAAAACTAATACGGCTGATTGGCGTAAAAATTTTTCCTACAAAAAACCTTAATACATTTTTGCCCTAAAATAATTTGGGGAGCCAATAATGGCATGTTATGAATTTTACTGAAATCCCTATGATGCGTTAGCCAAGTCACCACCCTGTATACAAACTGTAGGAATTTTTGTCTTGCATGGATAGGCAACACATGTTACACCTTAGCGAACAGTGTCACTTGCGTTGCCTCTCTGTATTACGTAAAGAGAAATCATATTTCCTGATTACGGAAGAATGAATTCTCGAACAATTTGCGTAATTTCTATTACAAACAATTATAAATAAGGTAAAACAAACAGGATTGCCGCTCGAGTGACCATGACACCAGCAACAAGGATGAGGCAATTAAAAATTCTAAGTAGGTAGACAACTGTTACTCATCGGTCACCATTTTCATAAAAATATTCGAATTTCTCCTCGCATTATCGAAGGCTAACTAACCGTAAATAAACACACTTTTATAATGGAATGTTAACCATTCAATAATTAAAATATTGAAACGGTACCAAATTTTTCGTCGCCCTGTAAACACACCGACCGAGCTAGTGACGTTTCACTTGTTTTTGTTCGGCGGCGCCGCCTACGATCAAAAATGTAGATGAAATGTCAAGTCGTAGCCTTTTTTTTACAATTTTCGTTATTAAAAATAGGATAAAATGCGTTTTTTTCCGCCGCAAACTGCCAGTTAATTAAACCGTAAGTAGAGGGCTTAAAATGGAGTGATTGGGATCGAGTTTATTTTTAGTTTGTTTTGTCATTCTTTGAGTCATGGAGGAGGAGGACCCTCGAGCCACTGCTACCCCCGTTGAGGTGCCCGAATCGCCGAAACCCCTCGCTTTTACCATAGACTTCGGGGGTGGCGTGAAAGGCTACGATACGCAGAAGCACAAGGCGCTAGTGGAGAAGTTTCAGAATAGGCATCGGCGAGGACAGTCTCTGTCGAAGCTGGAGGATGCGGCGAAAAGGCACTCGTCCGAAGGTTATTCGTCAAGTGATGAACGTGACCAAAAGAACGTGCGATCGGCGAAGCTACGATCGGAGCTCTCTTTACCGCTGAAGAGTGTGGTGGTCGGTGATAAAATGACCCAGTCGTTTCCTAACGGTAGCTTCAATCTGGAAACGATCAAAAGTCCAGATTTAGAATTAAAGAACGCCTCGAGTCCCGAGCTTGGTACTCCCCGTCCTCTGCCGCACAAAACCCTAATCCGACACGCCTCCAGTCCCGTTGTGGAGGTCTTCGTGGACGGTACCGAGTTCGACTTCGACAAATCGGACACAGTTAGTGACGCCGGTACTTACACGCTCGAGGCCGATAATTACACCGAAGAGCAGAAGGCGAGAATGAGTATTGATCGCGACTTTAACATCGAGCAGGTGTCTCTTATGAAAAAGACAGAGGAGTACCTTGAGAGCTTAACAAAAAAGCCGACCTCGCCGAAACGGCTGTTGTCCCCCATCCTCTCCCCGACGCAAAACCTCTCGATCGTCGACCGCAAGGACACCGAAATGAACAAAATTTTGTACCCGACCGTCCGAGCGAAGACCGGCATCGGCTTCGATCAGGGCTGCTTTACGTCGGTCACCTCGAGCGGTGCCTTCAGCCGTAAGGGCGACACCCCGAAGCACGCCCGTCAGCCGAGCCTCACCAAGTCCGAAGTCCAAATCCAGACGTACGTCGACGTCGGTTGCGCGCACAGTCCTCCTGCCCCAGCCGTCGAACCACCCAAGGTGACGAACTTACCGCCGGCGATTGGCGGCATCTCGGGCTCCCCGACCAAGATACCGTCGCCCGTTCACTCGGCGAGACCGCGCAGTAGAAACAGCGTGAGCTCCTTAAACGTCGACCTATCCGACAGCAGCCTCGAGACGGAATCGTTCCTGAAACCGACCCAGAATTACATCAACTCTCTGCAGAAACGACTGTCGTTGGACAGCGACAGTAGCGACTACGATAACAAAACGAACTTACGACTGAATAACGAAACGTGCGATCTGCTTAAGCAGAAGTCGCTGCACGTCAGGCACAATTCGTTCGACGACAAGCACCTCAAGATCTCGAACAAGTTGGAGCACTTTCAGAACAAGAACCTTCAGGGTATTGATCAAACTTACACGAATAAGTTGAATCAATACAGGCATAAGCTGCAGAACTCGCCGAATAACAGTCCAATACGACGATCGAGCAGTTTCTCCAATAAGAATCAGTTTATTAATCCGCCGAAAGTTAGCAATTTGAATGTGACCAAAGACATTAATTTGAGGTGAGTTTAAAACAGCCTTGATTTAGGCAACACACAATACACATGGGTAAATTTTTGTTTGAGGGATAGGCCTGACCCCTTTAATTCTTATTCTGCAGGTTGTGAGTCTAGCCCTCTAGTGACTGAGTTGAATAAGTAAAATGTACCATAAAATTTGTGATATAGATACCTGCAGCCAAATATTCATGCCAGTGTTGCCAAAGATACTTATCATAATTTAAAAGCTGTAATTTTGAGATCTTAACTTCTAACGGCAAATCTTTGGACCCTGCTGAATCCGATTTTTCCTGTCATCACCTCGAAATCCGGCTGCTAGCCGTCCTCAAGTCAAGATGGCGCCCGAAATGGCGACTAAAACTCACTATAAGATCCTTTTCTTGTTGTAAACAAAAATATGATTTTTATTTAGTACATACGTTTTACTATTTATTACTATTTTATCAAAAAATGAGTAGCCAAAAAAAATCAAGATGGCGCTCAAAATGGCGGAAAATGGGTTAACTAATTTCTTTACCAATTGCGGAGAAAAAATTTGCATCTTTTTTATATGGGGGTGGTACAAATTGGTTAAAATGAGTTTGTCTATCCACCATTGTTAATAATAATAATTTTCGAAAAAATTAATCAAAATCGTTCCCAAATTGCCAGTATTTTTATGAATTGATGATATTTTAATAGCAAATTATCGAAATTTTTTTGAATGCAGAGAAGTATTAAGAGGTAATTTAATTTTACAAATAGAACGGCAAATATTGTTTACACAGCGTTTAAAACACGCGCGTAATTACCTAAGGCCCTTTAAGCATGGCGGCAACGCGAATCTGCTGGATGCATATGCGACAAACGTCTGGCAAGTTTTAACTAATTTCAAAAATGTGCCAAATTCTTGACACAACAGCTTTCTAGCTCAACTCTTGACCGTTTAACGTCTTCGCACGCTGTTTTACTCTTGTTTGTGTTACTATAATAGGTACTTATTAATAATAATTCATATATTGCCTAATCTACAAACCTCCTTATCCAATCGAAACGAAAGATAAGAATGAAATTTTACTTATCCTTAGGTAGAGGGTATGGATATTAATAAAGATATTAAAAAAAGTTTTTGACAGTTTTACATCCTTTATGCCTAATGTACATTTGCAAAATTTTAACGAAATCGTAGTAACCGTTTGTCTGAAAATTTTTTTTTAGTTTTTTTAACTGTTACATTTCTCATTTTTTATAATAAAAACTCGCACAATTTTTGTATGTTATACACAGAACATTAAAAAATACTTTAATAAAAATTTTAGGTTGCTATTTGAAAACAAAAGAGCGGTGCCGTTGCGGCACTCCAAAATTTTTTTCAAAAATCCGGCCCGTCATTTTTCATTTCCGAATGCCCAATATACATATACAAAATTTGAAGAAATTCCGTCGAGCCGTTACCTCAGACGCACGTACCGGGTGACCCAATAAGACTGTTTCTCGGCCATATCTCGGGAACCGTTCGTCGTATGACTTAGGGGTAAAAAAATTGGGTAAATCTATCATTTTCGTAAAAAACTCAGTTATTTCAAAAACCAAGATGGTGTGGGGCGTTCAATTGTTTTTGCATTAACCTGCTTTAACTTCTTAACCGTTTGATCGATTGTAACAAATTTGGTATTGTTGTAGTTAATTTAGTTGAATCCTTCTCCTCCAGGGGGCTAGTTTTGGCACTATGACCCATAATCCTAAAAAAATCAAATGGGATGATATGACTCTTTCTTTATGAAAAAGTAGCCAAATAACACCCAAAGACAACAGTGAAAACCGTTTTTCAAAAATCTCTCAAAAATATTTGGAAAATGAGATTAATTAATTAATTAATTAAATTGCTTAAATTGTATCTTAAATTTACTTTTTACGTATTTCCGGTATTTGTCGATGGCGCGAAAGAAAAGCACCCTACACTTTTAGGTAGGCCTTGGAAAATTAAACAAATGAAACATGATGCATTATAAAATAATAGCAGCCGTAATTTGTAAATTATTCTGCTGTGGTTACATTCAAAAAGTGCAGTTTTTTGAATTTGTAATCTTTTCTAAAATGCCGATTTCTAACCAAGAAGCAGTTAATATGCTGGCGGCGATGATTCGGTCGCAAATAGAAGATGCGGGCAGCGATGGTCGCATTTTGAAAATACTCAAAATATATCGCCAGCATATTAAATGCTTCTTGGTTAAATCGGCATTTTAGAAAAGATTACAATTTCAAAAAACTGCACTTTCTGAATGTAAACACAACAGAATAATTTACAAATTACGGCTGCTATTATTTTATAATGCACCATGTTTCATTTGTTTATTTTTCCAAGGCCTACCTAAAAGTGTAGGGTGCTTTTCTTTCACGCCATCGACAAATACCGGAAATACGTAAAAAGTAAATTTAAGATACAATTTAAGCATTTTAATTAATTAATTAATTAATCTCATTTTCTCAATATTTGAGGTTAGGAACGAGATTTTGAACTGGCCTCTTTGCATGTTATTTGGCTACTTTTTCATAAAGAAAAAGTCGTATCATTCCATTTGATTTTTTTAGGATTTTGGGTCATAGTGTCAAAACTAGTCCCCTGACGGAGAAGGATTCAACTAAATTAACTATATTTTGGTTGATTCTCATTGTCTAAGGAATGCTCTTTTCAACCATACCAAATTTGTTAAAATTCGTCAAACGGTTAAGAAGTTAAAGCAGGTTATTGCAAAAACAATTGAACGCCCCACACCGTCTTTGTTTTTGAAATAACTGAGTTTTTGTTTTTATGAAAATGATAGATAAACTGGTTCCCTTTAAACTGAGTTTTTAAAAACCGCCTAATTTTTAGCGTATTTTCCAACTCATGTTGGCATACTGCGCAATGTCAACTTTCTTATTTATGGAGATATTTTTTTGAAAGTTCAACCACAGATGCTTCTAGTAAAGACAAACATATCGCATATTGTAAAAATCAAATGTGCACATGCATTTTAACCATAGATGCTTGTAATAAAAAAAACATAGCTCCATAGCTATGGTCTTTTGAGAAGTACTGATTAATGCATGGAACTAACGTTATAGTTACTCATCTTAGGGCGAACACCTTTTTTTCATTTTTGTAAATTATATATTCGCCGTTCCGCACTTATGTTATTAAACATAATTGTTATGTTTATATATAAAAAATTCTGTGTGTACAGTAGAACTGTAAAGCGAGAAATTTGATTCGGCTCAAAAAACGACCAATACATTGGAAACTTTTTATACCGCATACAGAATCAATCTAGCTATGCTTGTTTCTCAGATACCGGATGGAAACGAAAAGTTTGACTTTTTGAGATGTTATATCTTACTACTCATGTAAGATAGCAAAAAGGTAAAAACTGTCCTTTTTAGAAATTTTTACGTAGAATACAGTGACGTAGTAAAAAAAATGTTTGACTACCTTTTCTAAGATTTGTTGAATTTTTTTAATGTACCTAATACCCTATATCTCGCCCTATATATCTTAACATCAATTGGTTTGCATTCTTTTTACTGATTAAATTGATGTATTACAACTAATGTTTTTTTATTAATTCATTCATTAATTCATAATTAATAAAAATAGCTGACGGTAGAAACATGTCATTTCACAATTTTGAAAAATATGATATAATATATAATTATATTAAAAAAATATTGGTTGTGATGCATCAAGGTAATCAGGAAAACGAATGCAAACGGTTGACGTTAAAATATACGGGGTGTTGCATTAAAAAAAAATACCAGCTTTGAGTTAATCTCAGAAGTGGTGGGTTAACATTATTTTTTGACTACGCTACTGGATTCTACGTACAAATATCTTAAGTGGTTCCTATCATTTCAAAATGAATGTGATTTTTAATCAATAAAATAATAATAGTTTATTATCCTTACGCGACAATTAACACATGTTAACAAACAAATTAAATCTTTACACAAATATAGCTTCAAATAACAAAAAAAAAAGAAAACCTAATAAATCCTAACTGAATATATAATTCTAAAGCAAATAACTAAACTTAATCCAAGAGCGCTAAGATATCATTTAGGGAATTGACATGTATATCTGCCAACCTAGGTAATTTATTAAACAAATTTACAGAGTAATTTATAGGAGATAAATGTTTGAGGCCCCAAAAAGGTCACGTCACGTTTGCCTGAACTTAGTTTTAATCCACTTTTGTCATTTTAGCGCATTTTTTAAGAATTAAAAAAAATGTGCTATTGTTTGCGTTTTGTCCGTCCGTCCGGATCCACTTCTGCCGTTTTGAACTACTTCTAGGTGAAATGGTCCTAGAGTCCTGGAATTTATAGGTAGCTTATACCTTGAAGCTGTGCCAGACGGCCATCAAATTTCGCTGTCTAAAAGCCCCCCCCCCCCCCTTTTGAAAGTAAAATGTGCATAACTTTTACATACGACAACCATTTGGTCTCAGATTTTGCATACTACGCATGTCTTTAGTGGTGCCTTGTGGGCTGCCCTTCTTTCTGTCCTCTTATCAAAGGACGGGGAGGAGGGGGGAGGGGAACTAGTTTTATCCTTCATGATACTCTAATGAAAGGTCTCAACGAAAGGAATTAATTTCTACCAACCATAGCCCTCCTCCTCGACCTCTTATCATGATCGGGTATATTCCCTTATACCTCAAGAACGGATTGTTGGAAGAGGGTACTCGCAAAGGGCGATCGAGACGTCTGCAAGAAATATATCCATTGGTGATGTCAAAACAAAAGCTATTTCGGTTAAAAAAAAATGCGCCCAAGAGTTGTGCACAATTTATACTTGTTTTAAAATATCTGTTGTGCTCACTTTCCTGAAATTTACCATGACAAATTGCTTTCGGGAAAGTGTAATCAACTCTCCCTTTTCTAGGAGGTATGTAATAAAAAACCTCCCAGACCCCCCTATATTTTTATAACATTTTTTTTTCTGGGAGGTATTTATTCACGAGCTTGGACTAATTTACAAAATT